AACAGCATAGCCCTCAGCGAGCAGTGTTTAAAGTTCTTCTGCCACTTTGACCCTTCGATGCAACCCGATGCGCTCTGTGTTATACAACAGGGTCAGCGACCAGCTTTCATCCTCCTGACAGAGCGTTTAAAGCATTCGCCGTGATTTTAGCGATGCTGCCTGGGCCGGCAGCAGGGAGGGCACCTCTCAAACCTGCGGGCCCCCGACACGGGAGAAGGAGTCGGCCCTGCAGGCTCCATCCCCCGCTCTGCCACCTCATCTTTTCCAAACCGGACAGACTAACGCTGTCTAAGGACACCGCCGCCACTGAGCTTGCCCGGCTGCTTCCCGTTGCTGCCGTCCAGCGCTCGGGGAGCGAACGCTGACCCAAGTTTTCGGCGCTCAGCACTTTTGGGATCAGGCTGTAAGGCCACATACAACAGCCCCCCTGAAGGGTCTGTGCCAAAACATAATAGACAAAGCAAAAAAATCAGTCCGTGCTTACATCATTTTGTCCCTCATATTCTTCCCTTATTCCTTGCATGTAAAACTTAATATAAAAAAAAATAATTAGCAATTCTGGCATGGTTCTTTGCCGGTACTGTTTTTACAACCCAGCTTCCTTGGTAAGCATGAAGACTGGCTTATTTATTTAAATTTGTTTTTAATAAAGCATAATTATTTATGACTTCAAATATTATTCCCTACCTCCACTACTTTAGAAAGTCTTGCTAATAGGTAATCATAGATATCACAAGATAAATTTGATTAGGCAATATGTGCAAAGTGCTTTGAATAATTAAAAAAAAGTGCTATAGTAGTGCTAAAGAGAAAAAAGAGAAAAGCTTTTTTTGTTTGGTTCGTTGGCTGGGTTTTTTTTTGCTTTTTGTGCTACCCGGTTCCCTTGTTTTAGAAGGTGCTGTACGTTTTCAGCTCACTGTGTGTTATGCATCAATTACTTATATCTGACTCTTTAATTATTAAAAAAGTGCTTCTTTACAGGACTACACTTAAAACTTTCAGAGTGGTGATGCAGGTCTCATTTCAAACCATTTGTTTTGAATTTTGCCTTTTTATAAAAGTGTAATCGCCTTAGAATATAAAATCTTCTGGTGTCCTCCCTGAGTATGTTTGTTTTCACGTTAACATCAATGGGCAGGAGATATTGCTTGACAAAACAAATAGAATAGGATCTTTCCTCACTCCTCCCAACTCCCATGCTTCCTTCATTTACAAGCTGAGTCACTGGCGCAGACAATAATGGTCTGTGCACTTCTTAAAAAATAGAAGAGAAAGTCACTGCCAGTTGCTTTGTTAAAATATTGTTACAACAATTTTGTGTCTGCTTATGAGGCACTTTCCATTTAAAAAGCTTCTTTCTTGAAACAGCCTCATGGAACATTATCAATGGCTACCAGCATTCACAGACACAGGACTATGCTCAGGCTGGGATGGCTGAAGCAAACAAAAATAAGTATCTGTTGGCAGGGAAGGAGGAGAATGTTACTGAGAAAGTTAAGTAAATGTATCTGCAGAGAGCACTATAATCAGCTTAAGGAAGCATCTGAAACACTTTATTTCCTTCCTGCACCACTCAAGATGTTCATTCCTCTATGCTTCTCCGTGAAAAATAAAATTATTCCTTCTACAGTTTAAGCAGACTGTCTAGTAAAGCATACAGCCCTGAGCAGTATTTAGGATCTGAGACCCGTATGTTGTAATTTAAATGTTATGTTATCCAAATGTCTACTTTTTGGTCTAAATTTGACTTCTGTGTTATAGGTCAATGACACTTATTTGCTTACTTTTAAATAAAACTGGACAACTACTTTTTTCATCCTGCTAAACGTCAGCTCAGAGATGCAAGAGCTGAATTAACACTGCTGGCAGAATTAACCCTGACAGATACGGAGAAAAGGCTGGAGCGGTTGTCAGAGAGGGGTGATGACCCACAACTCTTCTAGAGCCATGATTACTCTTCACTGACAGTAAAGGGGATGCCCAGCAACAACTCTGCTCTGGGTGATGCGGAAGGACCCTTGCACAAGCCCATAACCTCGGCCTCTGTGGTACGACAGGGAAGCGAAGCGTTGCACTGGCTGGTGGTAGCAGGAGGCGGCAGAGGGGAAGCAATTGTCCTTCTCTGCAAAGAGGCCTCTGGGTCATTTGTTTCTTTGCAAACTAAAAGCAAGGAAGTGCAGGCATTGTCCAATCAGACGCAATAGAGGCCCTCCCTGTTCAAACTTGATTCAATCTAGTTCATAGATTGAATGAACTACATACGTTACTACGCTACTACGTTACACTTCATACTTGTGTAACGGCATATAGTATGCACACTATAAAATAGCTACCTGAAGCAATTTGCACAGTTTAATCTTTTGCCATGTGCCTGATGAGTTTTGTTCTGCTGCCTCACCTTCTGAATAGCAGTTCCTCTGTCATTTTTTCTGGCATTTGCCTCTTTTGTATGTTAACTGTAAACGATTCCAATAGGGGCCGTAACTCCACAATGCACATAAAAATAAGGACTAAAATGTTACTTCAGAAGTCTCTGACTGAGCAATTTAAGGGATAGTTCCTAAAAAAGTAAATAAAAATGAGGCATTAATTTTGATCTCTTATGCAACATGTGCAGGATTAGTCCAATGTAAGTGACAACTTAGAATACTCTCTTAAAGCAGAAAAAGATGGATTGCTCAGGGGTGCAGACGGGGCATGCTGTACTTGGACTTCCTAAGTTTTGTTGGACCATGGCCTGTATTCATCTAGTTGGAAAAATCAAGGTTTTGATCTACAATAAGTGTTTCCAGCTGAAAATCTTTATGCAAAATTACTTATTTGAGTAAAAGCTGACAGAGTTTCTGCCTGGGGACAGAGAAGAACTGACAACTCAAGGCTTTTAGTTGGAAACCAAGACACTGAGCGGGAAGTAACGGTATGATGCCTCACAGACAATACAGTTATGCCATCATTCACTCAGCTCCTTTATGTGAGCCGCACTTTCAGCTACACACTGCAGGAGATAACAGTGCAGCTGGGCACTGTGGCCCCTACAGGAGAGACGGCTATCAGAACTGTCTTCTGTGAGGATCCGTGCTGTTGTTTCTCCCTATGAGAGTCAAACAACGTTGTATGTGGTTCTTGTGCTAGCCTGGAATTTTGGGCGAGCTGGAAGCGCTGTACTTTGAAAGAGGGACAAGCCATGTCTACATCTCACTTCTGTAGATGGTTTCTTGATAATTATGAAATGGCATAATGCTTCAAAAGTGATAAACTGATCTCTCTTGCACTTTGCTAATGGTAACAGCGGATTCTGGCTTACTAATTTGACATGGGGAGAAAGAATCAACTCTTTCATTCAGCCATTTTCCTTGGTGTTTCTGGAAACTTTTTAAAGCAAGCTAGACCACAAGCAAATTTTAATACAAAATTACATAAAATTTATTAAACAAATACTTGTATAATTGACCACTCATGCTCAATCCTTCATAGTTTTCCTAAAAGGAAATGAATTTTAAAAACCCAATATTTAATACTTTTACTCTTTACTGTAGTAAATACAAGAAATGTATAAGGAAAACATAAGTTCTCCTTACAAAGCTAACGATTATAAGCTCAGCAGAACTCAAGCACATATGACCTTTTTTCTATCGCTTGTTTTTAAGACTTGTTAATAGATGCATTGACTTTAATTAAATTTCTGAATAGAAATTTCAGCCTGAAAATGAATTCATTGGAAGACTAATGCCATCTCTGGACTCTATAGTCCTTCTCTTTACTTACTCAATAATAACAATCTATTTTCATCTTTACCTAGGTAGCACACATACCAAATTTGTTACTTTGCCATCGTGCTAATTCTAACCTGACCTTTTTGTGGAAAGTCCTTTCCTGTCTCTTACTGTGAAACCTTTCTCCACTTACACTCTCCTGTTTTTCCTATTTCTTAGGTTTTACATAGGTCTTTCTATGTTAAGTCAGGTTGTTTCTAAATGCTTGCAAAGCATATGCATATTAAACAGTATTTTAGTATTCACAAGTCAACTGATGTAACACAGGAAACTGTAACTGGCTTAGTGTAAGTCACCACAACATTAATTTTCTGTTCAGAACATTAAAGTTACTGAAATAGAACTGTAGGGCAGAAGGGGGTAATTGGATGGTATGTAGAGATGCACTGGTAACATGTAGAAAGTTCCTTCAGATACTGTATTGCGGAGACCAGTGGGTCTGGAACTACTTGCTTTTAAGGGCTATATCCACTCTCTGGACATTGCAGTCCTCTTCATCTGAGCAGCCACTGCAGTCTGACTCACTTTTACAATAAAGTGGTTGTCTGCTCATCTCCTGTGCCTCTGTTTTTCTAGTTGTATAACTATGGGATCCCTGTTCCATGTAATGTGGGATTAACTCAACCGACTTCCAGTAAATCAAAAAAGCTTTCACTTCTTTGCCTTTTTTTATTTATTTCATCAGAATAACCACTATTTATCTGTCTACACCTTAATGTCTCAATCAAAGTCTTGAAATGCTGAGGTTTCTTCTTTAGAGCAAGGAATTGAAATTTTTACACTAAGCATGCTGCTATTCAGTTGCGTGACATCAGTGAAATTTTGATTTGTTTTCAAAGCAAACTTTTTAGCTACAACTTTTTCAAACTCAGCAAGTATTTCTTTTTTTTTTTCCTTATTTCTCCTCCTTCCTCTCCCCCAAGTTAATTTTTTTTTGCTCAGTAACTATGAAACAAACTCGAAGTCTACCTGTTGTTAAAATACCAGTAAGGTATTGAAAAAGATTCATTGATTTATTTAAATACGGGAATATATTCAACTTGTAACTACTCTTTATCCCTTTCTTTAGTCCTAGAACTGCCACTTACTTGGCAAATTCAGCCATAAAACTTCAGGAATGGGTCTGAATGAAGCAGAGATAAGTAATGTGTTAAAACAGTATACCACTGAGGCAGTGAACTGTATCTTGTAGTGACCAGAAGCTGTTACATTTCAGTGTCTTTTCCCTGGTTCAATGGAAATATTTGTGTTCTAGTAAGTGCACGCCCATATCACGCACAGCTACTACTGTTGATAAGCAAGTAGTATTCTCTGCTGGGAGGCAAAGAATTAAACTGATCTCTAAACCGTAAAACCTGAGAAAGATGGTATGTGTAGCATGTAGAAATTTATGTTTGGGTTGAGGCCTCTGTCCTGCTATATAGTGAAGTGATAACTCCAGAATCACATAAAGTAACCTAATGGATTTCTTAATTCATGTTACGTTTATGCACCTGACTCTACATCCAGTTTATTCTTCATGTCACTGGTTCACGCCCCGTATTTCTTTGTTTAGATAATAAAACTACCAAAATCGCTTTTACTTAAACAGCAACAATTTCAGGCTTCCTCTGCTAGAGAGTATTTGAGTTAAAAGACTGTAGAGATTGTTTACTAATTCTTCAGGCTTTTAAACTGAATAGCAAGATTTCTGACTTAGAATCCAAACTTAATGGTAAATGTGAGTTGACTGTGTCCCTCAGATACATGGGAAAGAAACTGTGTGGAAAGATAAAACACAGTTTAGACAACGATATGCAGAAATATAACTTGATACGCCAAAAAAAAAAAAAAAGACACATGATTGACTGGCACAGCCAGTAATGAAAGATGTTAAGCTTAAGTTGCCATCCTATAATTTTCTGCTTTGAATACGTGACTGAGTGCACAGTTAGAAAGTATCTTCCAGGCAAGAGCTTTTGACCTCATTAAGACAGAATAGTTGTTCCTCAGTTGCCTGCACATGTTGCATAATCTCTAGTAAAAACCATGTTTTCTAACTAGGTGAAAATTACTGCAGATGAAGATGAAAGCAAATCAGTCTTAAGAATACGATTACCAAAATCATATGTTCAGAAGCACATAATCCACAAGATCCAAGTATTTGATCCAATTATTTGATCTTTTCTTTTTGAATATAGCATATAGTCTATTCCAAAATAGCCATTTTCCAATAGGTCTTTAAGCTCAGAGGGTGCTAACAGGTAATTTCCTCATTACTTTAATTGCTATTTACAATGATTTTTATTTTTATTCATATAGGTATATTTCTGAAGGGAAATATACTTTGAACAGTGTATAAGAAGGCAAAAGTAACTTGAGGACAGCTCCTGTTTTTTAATCCCTGAATGAGCTCTACCAATTAACAGTCAGCCCCACGGATTTTCTCATCCAATACTAGGGAGCATGAGGGGCATCACTGCCATTGCAAGTCAAAATCCAGAATTTGCCTTCTCCTTCCTCTTAGCAACAGTTCTTGTCAGCTTGAATTACACATGCATAACACAAACTCAAAGCCTTATTCTGTGGTAAGCAGGTCAGGTTTATTTTTCTGCTGTGAGCTGGTTTAATAAAAAGATTGGAATGCTAATTCAGACCTTCATGTCCCTATTAGTTAAGAGCCTCTGGGAAGTGTTTTTTTGGGCTTTTAAGAGGAGGGTGAGGAAGCAAGTAAGCAACCTGGCTACTACATCATGTATCTCAACTCTTGTTTTTGCCAGCTCTCTTATTATATAGCTTGTTTGTGCAAGTCATGGCAAAAACAGGCCTGGCTTATGCTAAGGAAATTGTTTCAGAGTGTGATGTTACAGCCTGATAGGCCTCAAGAGGAGGCACAAGGAAACGGCAATGAAAATGAAACAATGGGAGACAGCCACGAGTGGGTAAACGCTGAAATTCAGAAACAGCCGAAATATTGTGTTGCTCTTCTGGGCTTAAAAGCACCTTGCATTTTTCCTGGCCTCCTCAAGGGAATCGCTTTCAATTCTCTACCTATCGCCATTCCCAAATCCAAATAACACAAGCCTGTCTACAAACTGAGGATTTTTCTTGAAATTTGCTGAAGACTTCAGCAAATACAGCTCTGCTTCAGCTTATGCACTTCTTTGCTCTTTCTGGCCACTGTATTTCCCTGCAACTTCTCATCGTTCTGAGATGCCACCATAATCAAGGGGAACCTGCAGGCTGACTAAAATTCCTAAGAGCTGAACCAGCTGCTGGCAGTACATTGCCCTTCATGTTACTTCTTTGTTTGGGACATTGTACGTTTTGGCATCGCTCTCCCAGCACTTCTTGCACAGTGACCCGCTCCCTGAGAGAGCAGCTGATACTGCTCTCAGCTCCTTACCTGCTGGATTTCTTGAGGCAATGGGGAATGTCTAGGGGATGAGGAAGCTTCTCCAAACCTGATTAACTACATAGAGATCTGTATTAACTGCACACCAAAGAACTGTGCTTCACATATGAAAATTCTGTAACTTCCTCCCAACTTTGTACGAAGCCTTGAACACTGACAGAGTTGTTAGAATAAACTTGCCTGACTTGCTTCAGGCTTCTGAGGCCTTAAAAGACTGCACTTCCTCTGAGAAAAAGAGAAAGGCAGAAGCAACTGCAGAAGGAACAAATTTCCAAAGAGATGATTCCAAAACCAGGAAGATGCCTTTATGCAATTAAAATCCTTCTGTTGTCAAGAAGGTAGCAACCGAAAAATATGTAATGAATTTTTGTATTTTCTGCTTTACATCCTAATTGGAAAGTGCAAGATAGCCGTCACATCTTCACCTTTAAAAAAAGATGACTACCACAGTTAGTCCCTTTGCTAAAAATTTCAAAAGAATGGCAGAAGTTTGGTTTTGTTCCCAAGACGAAGATGAATCATGTTGTTAAAGACAGTGTATGGTGCCATTGAAGGCAGAAGGCTACAGGAGTGAGTGGTTGTTTTGTAGGGCTGGGGGTTGTTTTTTCTCCTTGATGTGGTTTGTACCCTCTTCAGTAGACATGACTATTGATCTGGCACTTACTGCTCCAGAGCTTGTTATTAGGGTTCCTGTTCTGCAAGCTTCACCTTTCCAGAGGTCTGCCTGCTTAAGAACACCACAGGCATAGGCTAGTCACAATCCAGTCAGTCTGCCTCCAGAACACACCTCAAAAGCCTGCCCCCATATAAATAAAAAATGAACTCTTTCTATATACATACAGATATATACATACACACACATATATGAATGTCCTCAGATCTTTCTGCCTTCTTGGCCCATCCCTCCCTCTCTCGGACGTATCAGACAAGTTGCTCTAATACTGACAATTCAAAATGACTTTCTTTCATCTTGTCCACCTCACACATGTAGTTTCCAGGCAAGTCAATCTCTCACTTGTAGCTAGCAGGAACAAACAAACAAACAAACAGACAGACAGACAGACAGACAGACAGACAGTGACTTAAAAATGTGTCCTAGTCTGCATGATTTCTGGAACGCATTTAAGATCTACTGTCAGTCCTGTATAAGAAATGCATTAAGCTTTACTAGAACATTCTAGCTGTGATGAGGTTATGCACTGTATAGATACCAGAAAAGAAGAATTTTTTTTCATCTAGTTCAGCACAAACAGTATATTGTGAATGATCTCTTTTCAGGGAATCAAAAAACCTTTTACTGAAGTAATTAAAGCCAACATTGGAGATGCACATGCAATGGGACAGAGGCCCATCACCTTCCTTCGTCAGGTAAGGATATTACAAAATATTATTTCTAGTTCTATGGCATCTATCAGATACCGTATTCAGAGACTGTATTCAGAGACTGACTTGCTGCAGTAGTTTGTGACTAATGTGTGTTTTCCCCAGCTCAGCTTTAATTAAAAGCCCTTGCTTTTTTTTATTAGATTACCAAGAATACCTCGTAATCCGAGTTCGATTTGTGTATTAATATCAGTGGTTCCTCAGATGAACTTAGACTTAAAATAATTCTTTCATACAGAATGACAAGTTTCTGAGCTGAACTCCTATAACTTGCTTGCTGCGTCTCCTCTCTCAACGTAGTAATTCTCCTTCTTTGCTCTTCAGATCATTCCCCATCCATCCTTCCTCCTGCCACTTCTCCTATATTATCAGCCAGCACATTCACTGTCAATAGTGCAGACTTCAAAAAAGAAAGTGGTTGTGTTTAGGAGAAAAGCATATCCCTTTCTTAGTTTGACATCATCCTTTAAGGTCTGCATGCAGGTAGGTGCAGCTAGCTGTACTGCTACTAACTTTGTGCATTTCACATCTGGGAAAGTTAATTTGTAGACTATCTTTTAAGAAGGAAGACAGCAACAGAATCCACCTTTTATGTGTTATTACTAAACGACAAGCAGGGTTTAAAACTAATATTGCATTAGTTACTGAGCACTCCTTACACACACCTGTAAAATCCTGAGTGTAATATCAACTCAGAGAGTTTCACACCGAACTGAAGCCATGTCAAACTGCGGGTTACACAACTCCAGATGATGAGGTTAGAAAATTGAGCCATACAGCAAACTGTGTTAGCGAACTAGAAAGACCAGAGCATCTTACAAATTATTTCAGACCCGATGTTCAGATCCAATGTGCACACAGACTAATTCTTTAGTCACCATCCCACAATATGACAATTGCCTGTCTACGTAGTACTATGCAAACATAAAATTGAGACAGAGGTTGGAGCAAATTAAAGCCAATCTCAAGCGAGATCTCTAGATTCTTTTCTTGGTGTCTTATATTGCTTCATAAACATATTTCTGCTAGGTCATGTTTCTCTATTTGCTATGTTCTATATCACCACTTTTTAATTTAAATATTTCCCACAACATAAAATTGGAAGAACAAGAAGTTATTTTGGGGAAGGATTATTAGAACATGCAACTAGGACTTCAAAATCTGATCACGTTTCTCAGTTCTGCTCCACACTTTAATTCTTGATCTCTTGTCAAGAAAGTGGGCTAACAATACACAAAGAATGGAGCATAGAGCTGTTTAGACAGTTCCTCTTCTGAATAATTAACTGTGTTTTACTGTGTTTGCACTATGCATAGCTCACTTGGACTCCAGTCTTTATCCTCCATAATACAAATAGTTAGCAGTTCTATAACTGCTTTTATCAGCAGAACTTGGAACCTAGTAAGAGTTCTGCACTTCTGTGTGCACGACCCTTTTAAAAAAAACCCCTAACACACAACTTCAAACTCATCATCAATAACCTTTGTTTTGAATTAGCTAGTATTCATGATCTTCATTTCCAAGGAAAGTTAATATTAATACTATCAGCTTAAAACAACCATTGAGCAGTGGCCAATTCACATAGTTTTCTTGGCAATCTAGGTAGTGGCACTGTGTACGTACCCAAACCTGTTGGACAGCCCAAGTTTTCCAGAAGATGCCAAAAAGCGAGCGAGACGGATCTTGCAGGGCTGTGGAGGAAACAGCTTAGGTAAGCATCTGTTTCAGTTAATCCTATATGTAACAGAATCAACTAAAATAGTTTTAGCATGGGCAGTGGTGAAATGTTCTAATTGTGTTTTATATGGTTACAAGTCAAATGGGAGCTGGCCTATGGCAAAGTGATAGGGGGAGATTCACAGTGTGGCCTACTGATAAGAGGTGACTAATAGTGCAAATTTTTGATGAGCCTTGGAACGTAAGAGGACAAGATGAAGACTGTACAGTTAAGGAGCCCTCAGCACATCAGTATCTAGGCATAACCATAAACAGAACACTGAGCTTTTCTGTATTAGGTAAGGAAGTGGCACAGAGTACTACATTTCTATAAATATGTCTTCTTATTGTTATTGTTCTTACGACATCTGTTAATCCTGGGCTCTGACGGATATGTCTGCTGTTAAATCAGGTGGGACTGTTTACTATTTTATCATCTCTAGATGTTCCCTCCCTCTGCCAACGAGTCTACTGCCTCTGTAACCATCGTAGCAACCAACAACGTCTGTTCATCTCAGCTGATCCAGTTTATAGTCCTCCATCTAAATTTTAAACCATCAGTCAAAATAAGTTTGCCAGGCTATGAACTAGGGTATCTGAAACTCAGTTAGACATGCTGTTTTATTGCCCCAGGTATGAAGGTGATAATGCCCTGCAAAGAGAAAAGCGAACAGCTGAAAGGTGGTAGCTTTTTACTTTAGCCCAGATAGTTTTAGCTGAAGATGTCAAAGCCCTACTTCTCCAAGGCAAAACATTCCTTACAGGAACTTGGTTCTTCAACCACTGTTCCTCCAGCAGTGCATGCACGCATATAGACATAAATACAATACAAGCTTTGCATACTCAATAAAGAGGAAATGTAAGAGTTGTCTCTTCTCTTCTTTAGTCTTGATCATCCAGCAACTGGACTGCTCACTTGTATCTGAAAAATGCCATTAGAATTTCTGCTCTAAAGAGAGTGTTGCAGCCACAGGGTATGGCAAAGAATCTGGCACACTTAATCATCCTCTTTCAGGTACAAAAAGAGGCTAACAGTGACATCTCAGGGAGGGGATATATTAGAATAACTGGCATATCTCTTAATCTTTGTGACTGCAGTTCCTATTTGCATTGCTATATTTTGAGAGTAGGTGCTGTGAAACTTAAATGAAAAAAACTAAATGAAAAACCTAAATAGTTTTGCAGTCTTTCAGCCTTGGACATTAGCAGTCTTTCAGCCTTGGAATATTCCTAGCAACACAGGCTAGTACAGAATATATTTTATCTTTGCTTTTTTGGCATTGATTTTGTTTCTATAGGTAAAACGGGAAAAATACAGTTACCAAAATAGAGAAGTTGCTCTAGCTCTTTAAAATTCTCTCCTAGTTTACTTTGCAGGATACCTGTAGGATTTTAAGAAAGATCTGTCTACCAGACAAAAGGTTGCTAGAGAATGGGATGTTAAACTCCTCTTGCAGGGCTGTTTGGCAATAACTGTCCTCATTTATAAAGGCTAAAATCTATTAAAAGATAAATACCTGAAGAGTGCTAAAGGTGCATTTATAACATATATGCAATGCTATATATATGAAACAAAGCCTGGGAAAGGCTGTGTAGTGTGGTTTTGCAGTCCACAGGACACTTCAGTCCCTGTTGAATACTTCTGGAACAATTAACCTACACAGTACTTGTTTGCATGTAAGAGTTACTGGGGATACACTTGAATTTTGTCCTTGATCTTTTTTTGTAGTGCTTTTCCAATTCATATTACTTGCAGGGACATGATGAGAGTTCTCAAAATGCTGGTCTTGGTCCCATGCTTCTGCAATGAAATTAAAGGAATTCAGCCTTGGATGATATTTCAGAAATACGTTGGTTCTGCACAAAATCCCTTTTTCAGCAGAAGACCACACATTTCAAGTAATTTGCATTAGCTCAGTAGGCATGGAGAAAGCAGTCCTGAAGCAGCCTTCATATTCAAACAAGATTGTCATTCTGAATACACCCTTTTAATTTCAGTGGATAAACAGAAGTTCTGTAAGTCAGTGGCTGGAGTCTAAATGATTTTTTTCCTGATATAATATGTACCAAAGAGCAACTGCCCCTCGAAATTCCTGAAAACTACAAGCACTGAAGAAACTTTTTAATCTATTCCACTGGTTTATGCCTTCTCTCCATCCCTCATGTCTTCAGTATCACAAATCAGCCACTGTCCTTGGCCTCAGTTGCAGATCAGCCTCTGTATAGCACTCCATCAGCCACATTTGAGGTGGATGGATGTGCAGCTGAATGGAAGTTATTCCTACCTGTTGATATTTTGACACTTAATTAATTGCTGTTCTCTGCATGGTCGAGAAGAGGAAAACGGCTTTCCTGGGAAAGCAAAGGTCAAAAAATGATCCCTCCATGGAGCCTTAAGTGCTGGCTGTGTTCTAACAAAACCTTGTTTCCCCAAAATTTGGTAATCCAACATAGAAGTGGCTTAATTACATATGTTCAAGCTATTTGAAATGTTGCATCCACATCTATACTGGCCTACGTAGGTATATTCATTGTGTCGTAGATATGAATGACTTGGCGGCTGGGTATAAACTAGGATAACCTCGCTTCCCAATAAACATTCATTTGGCAAACCCCTACTTGCAGTAGCTTGCTATTCACTTGCCACATATGAATGCTCAGACATGTCCTCAGCTTCCACTGTGTTCAAACACTCTGGGGTTCTTCTGCCTCTGCTTGTTTTGCATGTGGGATAGCTGTCATATCTTTCCAGGCAGCTGAGAAATTTGTAGGTCTCCTATATGTAAAAATACCTAATACGTGCACACGCAGCCTTTTTGGATTAGGTTTAATTTTTTATTCATTTGCATTCCACTCTGCAAACTGATGGCTTCTACTGAAAATTAGCAAATGAGTACAAGTAAGTGCAAAAGACCTGAAAATTGAATTCAGATCTTCCCTATATCCCCACTGAGTCTTAAATCCTTTTAAATGCGGGTCAGAGTTTTTATTTGGATGGTAAGAGGCATTAGTGATAACCCTGAGTAAGAGCCGAGGTAAACTGTGTGATTAGAACATTTATTTTTCCTTTTCCTGCCCTCACCACTGGCACTGGAAGAAAATGTTTAGGGTTGCTGGTAACTAAACAGTAGTATCTGTGACCTCACTCTCTTGATTCTGTGCTTTACAGCAAACGCAGGTAAAGTGGTTTCTGAAAATCTTCCTGACATGCTGTCTACACTAGAAGTTTTACCTTTCATAGTGTCTTTGCATACTGTATTTCTGAGGAAGAAGCTTGCTGATCAGTGGGGGGGGGTTCAAGAAAGAGTAAAAATCTCTCTATCAGCAAGGAGGAAGATACTTTCATACTAAAGTCATTGCAGGACCTATGGTTTGAAACTCTGTATTTAGACTATGTCTATCAGAATTTTTCTAGCCCTCAAAGGAGGGCAATACAAAATGACTGCTTAGTTTTGTTCCTCTAGTCTAACAGCAGCTTCTTAGCACTGGTCCAAGATACATGTATAGACCCAGTATACCTTTTAGTCCTACGGAGGTTCATTTTTACGACATCAGGAAACTTTGTGCATGCAACTGTGCAGTACTTACAAAGGTTCTTTGTCTTTATAAATTATGCTGCTGCAGAAATAGAGCAGATCTATTATCAAACTGACCACTAGCATATAACTGAGCGATGAGAGTTAAGTCAGGTACAATTATTCCACTCCACCCAGCAAGCAAAGAAGATCCTGCAGCTTTGCGACAGTGTTCTAAATTCAATGTACACTTGTCACTTCATTGTCCATCAGTCTTGGAATTCGTTCCTCACCTTGTCTCAGGCTTATTTCTACTCTTTATTTTTTGCATATGCTCAGCAATGGTGCACTTATGCATCTAACATCTTACTATATTTAAGATTACTAGTTGTGCTCTTGTAAACTTCACATGAGGCTTGTACACTGGGGTTATGCTAGATGATTCTGCTACAAGTAGCTGAAAAGCGGTTGTGGCAAACGCTGTAGGGGGAGAAGGAAGCAGTTTAAGGTTTTTTGTTTTTCAGACTGCGAGAGGAAATGGTGCTATGTTCTTTTTATATTGCAAATAGAAATCTTATTTTTGTCATGGATTTTTAAAAAGTTATTTTCCTTCCTATTACACATGCTACCTGTGTTCTTTGTTCCCATTACTTAAACAGTTTACTTTTAAAGTAGGTTGCCCTTCTCAGGTAGATTTCAATGTAAACAAAGTGACTGGAAGATAGTCAAAATGGGATTGCTCTCCCATTTTGCAAAGCAGCCTTTAAGTCCTCTTTACCAATCCAGTAACTTACTTTTGTATTTCGGTGATACTTATTATACTTGTCTAATCACAAATGAATTATTTTTGCAGCTCGGTGAACAAACCTACTCCTTTTCCTACATCTTGAAAGAAACGTGCCACTCCCGGGGATCCAAGGCTCTCATATATACAAACTACTTCATACACTACTAGCTCAGGAATCTTGCTAGCAAACAGCAAATCTGATATGCATTGTACTCAGTTCTCTCATGTTCTGTATTTCACAGGATCTTACAGTGCCAGTCAAGGTATAAATTGCATCCGTGAAGATGTTGCTTCATATATTGAAAGAAGAGATGGAGGAGTTCCTGCAGATCCAGATAACATATATCTTACCACTGGGGCAAGCGATGGTATTGCTGTAAGTGTTACAATTAAACCTGTCTCTCTTTGGTATAAAATACAATACATTAGTTACCCTAGAAAATACAGATCTCTCTTGTATCTCTGGCATCATGAACTCCTGCAACCTTGATCTAACAGATACTGAAGTCACATTAAGTGGATATCCAATTATGTGGATGTAAGATACCAGCTCAGAAAAAGGCCTGTGGACACATAGTATCTTTGCATACACTAACTAGTATCTTTTGTATAGGTAGTGCAAACTACATAGGCACCTAAATATAAATTTAGTAAATTCAGACCATTCAGACTG